CATAAACGCTGTGATTATAATTATAATTTAAAGTTCAAAGGACTAAATATGCCGAAGCATTTGTATCTTTTAAATTCGGACTTGTAATGCCCATTTGGTGCACAATTATTTTGAAATCCGATAAAGATATATATAGGAGCTATATCCAAATCTGAACCAATCTCGATAAAATTTGGCAAAGGTATTTCTGAGCTGCATTTGATATATTTATCCAAACATTGTTGTTACAGAGTGTATATTACGGCTGCGGAAGACAAAAATAACAAATCGGATGAACAATATATATGGGAGCTATAGCTATATCTAAACCGATTTCGACCAAATTTGACATACTACCTTCTAGACTCAATTCGGTCGTAAGTGCCAAATTTCATCCCATTTGGGCAAATATTAGACGTTTAGTGCACAATAAAATGTAAATCGGACGAAGTTATATATGGGAGCTATATCCAAATCTGAACCGATCTCGATAAAATTTAGCAAATGTATTTCTGAGCTGTATTCGCTATATTTCCCCAAATATTGTTGTTACAGAGTGCATATTACGGCTGCGGAGGACAAAAATAAAAAATCGGTTGAACAATATATTTGGGACCTATAGCTATATCTGAACCGATTGCGATCAAATTTGGCACACTTATTTTCAGGCCTAATTTGGTTGTATGTGCAAAATTCCATATTATTCGGACTTATATTACACGTTTGGTGCACAATAAAAAGCAAATCGGACGAAGATATATATGGGAGCTATATCTAAATTTTTACCGATCATCTCCAATTTCAATAGAGTTCGTCCATGGGCCAAACAAATGATTCGTGCAAAATTTCATCTGGATTGGGCAGTAAATGCGAACTGTACTTTGTTTACAAAAATACATGGACAGACGGACTGACGGACGGACATGCATAAATCGACTCAGAATGTGATTCTATGCAGATCATCAAAAGGAACTATTGGTCTATTTCGTTTCCTTTTGCCTGTTACAAACAAATGCACAAAAACATAATACCCTGACCACCTTGTGGTGTAGGGTATAACTATTTGTTATTTATTTTTTATGCTTCATATTTATAGAAGAATGATTTATCAATATAAAGAGTCTAGGTAACTTCTTACCATAGGGAAGCTGTAAAAGCTCTAAAGGTTTATGTTTAAAGAATTCCTTCAAAAGTATTTCTAGAAATAGGACAGCTTTGAATGATATATTTTGTATTTAGAAGAGCTTTTATAGATCATCTGTCTATGTTTGGAGCTTTAAAAGATATCTTGCCTTATAGAAACTCTTTTAATAAAGTTATTTCTATGGCATAGCTCTAAAATGTCTTCTTTATATTGCTATAGCAAAGCTGTAGAATGTATTATATATTTTTTTCCTGTAGAACAGTCTAAAAAAATTTGTATAGAAGAGCTTTAGACGGCTTTCGATCTGCGGAGGAGCTTTAAAAACAAGCTATTGTCAAATATCTTTCAAAAAGGTATTCAATCTAGAGATAAATTTTAGGATATTCTTTCAATTAAATAGCTTTCAAAAGCCTGCTGTATACTAATGAACTTTAAAAATACTAATTTTTTAGAAAAACATTAACTTTTCTGTTGATATCTTTTGGAAAACCTTCTATCATACAAAGTTCAAAATGTCATTATATAGATAAGATATTTGAAACGTTTTTTTGCATAGAAACGAGTTTTAAAGGGTTTTCCATCTATAGGAGACCTATAGCTAATATTCAGCCTTTAGAAGAATTTGGAAGGGTCTATGTCCCCAGAGGACCCTATTAAATGGGAACTATAGAAGATTTTTAAGAACATCTTTCAAAGAAGGCTGTTAAAAAATTAAATAAAGGACAATTAAAAGGTATATTTCTATATAAGTCAGATCCAAAGTTCTTTTTTTCTACAGAAGACGATCAAGCAATTTGTCCTTCACACGTGTTTATAGAAGAAAAATATGGAAAAACTTTTAAATGCTCTGCTTTCAGAAGAACTTCGGTTTTTCGAAAAACTTCGAAACCTCAGAAGTCTTTGTATAGAAAATCTAAAATATGTTCTATCTATAGAAGACATATGAAAAGTTTCATAAAGAAAAACTTCAAATGACATTTTTCTATAGCAGGCCATCCAGCAATCTGGAGTGTATGAAAGTCCTTTAAAAGTCTCTATAAAACGACTTCTGGGTGTATAGATCTCTATAGGATCTTCTCCCTTCTGTAGAACATTTGTAAAATATCTTCCATCTATAGGCCAACACTAGGTAAGAAATCCTTTATAGATTATTATCTGTATAGAAATTCTTCAAAAGGGTCTTCTTTTATTAAATGTTTCCATTCTATGCAAGACATATGAAAAGCCTCCTTAAAAATAACTTCTGGAAGCAATTTGTCTAGATCCGACGATCAACCAATCTACTGTATAGAAATGTCCATTAGAAAGTTTATATTCTAGAGAAAAGCCCTTTTTAAGTCGTATCCATAAGGAAGCCTTACATAGCGGTTTCTTTTTCCCGAGGACGCCCAGCAGACTTCAGCTTTCCTTTAAAAGATATTTTGTCTATGTAACCTTTGTCTACAGAAAACTTCTTTAAGGTCTCCCGTTTTATAGAAAACCTCTGAAAGTTTTTCTGGCGGTGTAAAATCTTTGAACGTGCACCCTTTGAAAGGTTTTGTCTTTTGGGAATGTCATATATCTTTGGGTCATAGAAGGTCATTTAAAGGGATTGGATATATAGAAACTTTTATCTTTTGAAACACATTCAGTCCTTTTTCAGATTTTATTATTGTAAAACATAATGCCTGTTAGGTCTAAAAAATCGGTTCAAGACATTTGGAGTCGATCTAGGGGTGTTCGTCCGTATGTCTGACTGGTGCGGACGATAACTCTCCAAGGAAGTATCTGATTTGATCAAAACTTTATCTGATATTATTATCAGACTTAGGACGTGTTCAAAGATAGGCAACATTGCTTCATTACTCCTGGTACCTATACCCCAAAAAGTTCACAGCAAATAACTTAGCTCATATAACCAGAAAGGATCATCAAATTTGGTTCAAACTTGCCAAGTACGTAACATTTTTATCTAGGATAAGTTGTAGATAATATCGATCCTCGGTCCTCCACAAAGGGTCAACATTTTGAATAATTAAAACCCTTATAAGATGTGAATTAGGAATCCGATTTCCTTCAAATTTCCCTGCACCTCAATAACTCTACTAACCACAGATGAATAATGAATAGAACGGACCACTCCTTGTGGTACCTCCCCCACAACGGGTCAAAATGTTGAATAATCATGAAGCTCATAAAACGTGAAATTATCGATGAGGATCTTCATAGCATCATTTTCTGAACCGATTTATGCATGTCAGACCGTTCGTCTATCCATGTATTTTTGCAAGCAAAATGTAGTCCCTCACATGCGTAATACGCCCTCTACATCAATGATATTCGACACCGGATACAGATACTGATCGCAAATACCTCTCCCAAATTTTATAGAGATCGGTTCAGATTTTTATATAGCTTCATTCGATTTTACGGTTATTACCCACAATATATGTAATATTAGCCCACACTGAATAGTTTTTTATACCCTCCACCATACTATGGAGGGTATATAAATTTTGTCATTCCGTTTGTAACTCCTCGAAATACTCATGCCAGACCCAACAAAGTATATATATTCTTGATCAGCGTAATATTCTAAGACGAATTAGCCATGTCCGTCTGTCTGTCTGTCTGTCTGTTGTAATCACGCTATCTTTCGAACAAAATAAAGTTAGACGGCTAAAATTTTGCACATATGTATATTTTGCCAGTAGGCAGGTTAAGTTCGTAAATGGGCCATGTAGGTCCAAGTTATCATGTAGCCCCCATATAACGGTGCCTCCCGATATTCGGTATTTTGACGATTTTAACGACATTATTCACCGGAATTGTTTCAAATTTAGCATTTGAAGTTCGTAATAGATACTACAGCCTAAGACAGAAAATTATCTGTGCAGGTCCACGTCTTCATATAGCCCCCATATAACGGTACACCCCGATATTCGGTATTTTGATGATTTTAGCGACATTATTTAACGGAATCGTTCCAAATTTGGTATTTGAAGTTCGTAATAGATACTTCAGCCCATGCCAGAAAATTGTCTGTGCAGGTCCAGGTCTTCGTACAGCCCCCATATGACGGTACCCCCTATATTCGGTATTTTGATGATGTTAGATACATTATAAACAGATTTTTCTTCAAGTTTCGCATTTAAATATTGTAACAACTTATGACTAAACTTGCCTATGCAGGTCCACGTCGTCGTATAAACATTCGGTATTTTTAAGATTTTAACAACATTTTTAACGTTTTTTTTTTTTTTGGAAATTGCCAAATTTGTACCAAATAGTGGAAGGTATTAAAAGTTCTTACTTACTGCTTTTTTACTTGTTATCATATTCAACCGAAATTTTCCATTTGATGAAATTAGGTCCGGTCCAATAAATATTTCTTAATATAATCCTTATCGAAGTCATTTCATGCATTATACAGCAATGTTGGTATGACAACATAAACTTTTTTACAAATAGTGGTGTAGGGTATCATATAGTCGCCCCTCCCCCACTTTTGACCTTTCCTTATTGGTTTTCTCATGGTTGGTCGACTTTAGTCCGTCCGCCTAAGACCGATGAATTCAGATTTTGAAGAATCTTAAGTGTTAATACGAATGGCTTTTTGCGGTTATCTCTCGATTATATAGTCTTGGCCAATGCATAGCATATTCAACACAATATTAATATCACTCATACGTATATGTTACTGACTCCACCTCTATGGCGTATGATAAACATTATCACTCATACTACACACAGTTTTACACATATGAGTGTAACTCCTAAAATAACTTGATTTCAAGAAAAAAAATGTTTAAGTAAATTAATTTTAAAGCAATTTAATAAATTTAAATATCTATTTTTATATTACACTTCCCTTAGCAATACATATTTCTCTAAATACCTCTTAAATTCTAGCTGTACAACAACACAATTTAATTGTGTGCATAACTGTGTGGGTGTATTCGGGTTTTTCGATTACATTTTCAATTTTCCATTTTGTTTTGTGGTTGCTGCCTTATCGAGATTACATAATTCGTTTTCTCTCCTGTTTTATTATTTATTTAAAGTTAATTATACTTTTCAACTTCCGTTTGACATTTTGGTGTGACATAAATTATCATAAAGTTCAGTCGTTCTTTCGTTTTTTGCTAATGACATGGCAAGGACCTTTATTTGTTGCCTGCCAGCTTGTCTGCCTGTTGAACGCAGTAACACCAAGTTGGCCATTTATGACAAATGTCGTTGTCGCTCTCTCACTCTCCCCTTCATTGGCATTCCAAGGAAAGTTACAGTAACTCATCTGTCTTTTTCCTCTTCTTTCCCATTTTCATTAGAACTTTCACACTTTTAATTAGCCATTTGATAGAGGAAACAAAATGCCAACTTTCATTACAAATGTTATCTTTTTCAAAATGGAAAGTTTTTTTTTTTTGTGAAAGGAAAGAACAGCGTTTTCAGTTGGCTTGTTGTTTGTCTGTTTTTTTGTTACATTTTTATGAATACTTTATGAAATAATGTGTAAAACTTTCGTGTGTGTTTGTGTATAATGTTGCCTGTTCTACTTCCATTCTTTCTTTCCATTCAAAAAGCTAGGTTGTGTAGCTGTTTAACATTTTCCACCTGCCAGGTCGATGTTTAGCTGTTTTCTTTGTAATTTTTCTTTTCATCGTTTTTATTAGACAATTAAGGCGCTTCTTTTCAGCTGGCTAAATGGTGTCGGCTTTAAACGAAAATTATCTCATTACGCTCTGAATTGGGCTTGGGCACCGGCGGCTGACGTTGAAAGGCATAAACGTTGACAATTAATTGTGCCAAGAAAATAAAGAAAAATAAAACAATGAGTGTTAAATATAAAAATATATCGCGCCACATTACAATGCGAGTGGTGGCTATTGGTGTCAAGATTAGCGAAGCCAACTATTTGTAGACCACCACCACGAAAAAATTTCTTCTTCCTCCTCTTTTGGCTATTTTTCTTCTCTCCGTTGCCTGTGTTATCGATTTGAGAGTGGGAAAGTGGAATACAGACGATAGTACAAAAAAATTTCCCAGGAAGTAAATTAGATTTGCAGGATTTCTTTGTATTGCATATCCTTTAGTGCGTTGGCGGGTGTTGTTGAGCCAGGCGCCACAGGGTAGCTGTCACTGTGGCTGACAAGGATGATTGTTATTAATGCAACCGCAACATTGTGTAGCGTTTTTCTATTCCTCTTCTTCTTTTTCGACACTTGCCGTTGAAGTCTTGGCCAACTGGCAAACACCCACTGTGTTGGAAGTCAGTTACACTTGAAGTTAAATCTTTTCTCTTCTCTCTCTCTCTCACTCTCTCTCTCTCTCTCCCTTCCACTTTCTTGTTTGTTATACGTAAGCTGGAGTTCACTGCAGTGATATTCCCATATATATTTGAAGTGGATTAATGGCAATTGTAACTCGGAATCCCTTTGGGCTCTCTGGCACTTTAATTCTATGGCAACAGCTATGGGATGCCAATGGTTGGTTTTGTCTTCCTTTTATTATTCGATTTCTTCCAGCTGTTTCCGCCTTCACTTACTTAAAATTGTCATATTTATTATTGTGGTACTGGGCATCATGGTCGTCGCTCTGCTCTTTTTAATGCGTTTATCCTTTTTGGAATTGTGTGCCACTTATTTGTCTCCCTCGTCTTCTCCTTTTGCTTTTTTTCGTACCTTAATAAATGCCTTTATTTTGTAACTATTTTGCTCATAGTTGCTGTTGTTACTGTTCTTGTAGTTGTCAAAGCTAATGTTCTATCATTACATCGTTCATGCTTGGCTTGTCCTTTGGAAATGTTTATGACTTTGTAACAACTGGAGTTGCAGCTCTTCATTTTTATTGTTATTATTTTATAATTCCTGGTATTTGTTTCTTTTTTTTTTTTTTTTTTTTTTGCTTTTCTTCAAACTCTGTTTGCTTGTGGTTACGTTTTGTAGTTCCGTTTTTTTGGATATGTGTCACATGCATGCATGTACTCACGCACACACTTACTCACGTATGTTGGCTATAAGCTGTAGCATCTGAAAGAGAAAAGGGATAAATGTAAGTACCTGGTATTAAGTGCAGGGATTATTAAAGTAATTGAAGTGCATTTAGATAATAAAAAAACAGAATATATTGAGATAAAGAATATCCTTACAGAAGACCAATTACAGAAGACCATTTCGAAATCAAAATCTAATATATGGAATGAATCATCTATCATTCAAATCTCTGTTTAATTGTCAATACAGAATTTTGAACCAACAATCTAAAAACTGCTGTTCGACATGGAATTTAGTTATATATATTTAGTTTAGACCCAACAAAGTATATATATTCTTAATCAGCGTAAAATGCTAAGATGATTTAGCCCTGTCGGTGCGTCCGTATATCCGTCTGTTGTAATCACGCTACAATCAAAACGATAGGAAGCTTAAATTTTGCACAGATCTGTATTTTGTCTGCAGGCTGGTAAAGTTCGAAGATAGGCTATATCGGTGCACGATATCGTATAGCCCCTATATAACGGCACCTTTCCATATTCGGTATTTTGATGATTTTAGCCACGTTCTTCAACGGAATCGGAGTTCTTTGTGAGTACTTTACCCCCAGACATAGATTTGTCTATATAAGTCCACAATATCCTATATCCCCCCATACAGGGTAAGATGAAAAAAAACTGCAACCAGCTTCAGACTGCTGTAATTTTTATCCACTCGTCAATTATTCCATGGACAGCTCATTATATTGTTTATAAGCGTACAAAATTTTTGGTGAGAATTTTACAGAAAAAAAAGGTTAATCGTGACGGAATTCAAGTGTGATAATGTGATTTCTTTATATTTGGCTGGAAAACCAAAAGTGGCTATCGTTAGGGCACTCCAGCATTTAAATTTGAATAAATATTTTGTGTTTCGTGCAGGGTTGCCCATATTCGACGGACTCATCTGGCAACGCCATAACTTTTGACAGAGATGTCACATCGCTTAATGACATACCGCGGTTGAAGCGTCAGTCCAAGCAGATTTTTACCATGAACCAATACACGCCACGCGAGCGCTCTGAAATAGTTGAAATTTACAAGAAGTCAATTGTGAAAACTCAACGTGCTTTTAAAACATTAAAAAATGTGAGAAGTGCGCCTCCTAAGTCTGGTAAGGCTCTTTCTAATCCGAAGAGGCCATATAAAAGTCGAGCAAGGCGATCGGCCGAGAATATCGTTGCCGTACGAGCCAGTGTTGAGAGGTCCCCAAGAACATCCCAAAAACGCCGATCTCAGCAGTTGGGTATGGCTCGGTCCACTTTACAACGGATTATTCGCATTGATTTGCATTTGTTCCCGTACAAAATTCAATTAACGCAAAGAATGTTGCCTGCGGACAAGCCTCGTCGATTGGAATGGGCCCAAAAGGCCCAAAGGTCCGTCGAATATGGGCAACCCTGTACCAGCGCTCGTTACCATGATACTAGTAGCGTAGCCTGACGTCAAGGAAGTGGACGGAAGAAAAATGCAACATCAGCAGAAATGGTTCGAAAAGTAAAGAAGCGACTTTATCAAAAAAACGCGTCGCAGTGGCAGAAAAATTTCTCGTGAGCTGAACATTTCGTAATATTCCATTCGACAAATATTGAAAAATGAGCTCGGGGTAAAGCCATTTAAATACCAAAAAGATGCAAGAACCAACACCGCATCGAAAATATAATAGACTCTAAAAAGCTAAACAGTTGCTTCGCTTGGCCGAAAGTGGTGAACTGTCGAATTTGGCTTCCTCCGATGAGAAAACATTCGTTGTCAAGCAGTTTGTAAGCAAACAAAGAGGTCAGCGCCTTCGGTTGGCCACCAGAACTCAAGCGCCGGCCATGGTGATGGTGTGGGCCGCCATAACAGCCGATGGTCGCTCTCCGCTCGTATTAATCGACCGTGGCATCAGAATAAATGCCGGATATTATCGCGAAAATATTTTGGAGGGTGTATTAAAGCCTTGGGCACGCAAACATTTTGGCCGCAGACCTTGGACATTCCAACCGGACTCAGCACTTTCGCACTTAACACGCGCAACCCAAGAATGGTTACAAAATGAGGTTCCTTGCTTCATTTCCAGCGCACAATGGCCACAAAAATCTCCGGATACCAATCCGTTGAACTATTATGTCTGGACTATTTTGGAAAGCAAGGTTGACACTGAAAAATACCAAAGTGTCTATCACCTCAAGCAAGCGCTTCGCCGGGAATGGGCCAAAATACCGTGTAGCAACATTCGGGCAGAATGTGACGGTTTCAGTGGCCGTTTTAAGGCCATGTTCATGCCAAAAATGACAAATACGAACAAATACAGATGACCTGTCTTTAGAAAACCTCCAAATGGTCTTCGGCCTATTGATCTCATAAAACCTTCATTCCATATATACACCTTCTGCCTGTGGACCTTTAAAAGATATTCGGAATATTCCATTTCATTAAAAGGACTACTCTCTCTAGTAGAAGTTCAATGACTTTTTAATGCTCTGTGAGCCATACATTAAAAAGTATTGCAAATTTCATGTAGCTTTACTTGTCCTAAAAATCCATTCTTAACAAATTTCTTTTAATGGATCAATTTTCTTTATAATGAGACTTTTACTAATTTTTAACTCTTTACCATAAAAAATATATCAATATGCGGTTTGTATTTTAATACTCTTCAACTCTTTGCTTTCATTGCAAATTATTTTTCTTTTGAAAGGAAGAAAGTTCCACAAGTGCTTCCTTTGCAAGGAATTCTTGAAAAGACACGGAAACACTTCTTTCGACTTCACGAGCTCACACACCCATCCCACACTCATTTAATGAATGCAGTTGGCAAAGTTTGAATTAAATAAACGAATTGCATTCCGAGTACAATATATATTTTAATAATCCCCAACAAAATGAGAAAAGAAAAACAACACTTTTCACATCAAAAAAAAACCCTTCCAACCCCATAGGCAAACCAACAGCTTAAACTTTTAATGCATTTTTCGCCGTGGTGAAACGCTTTTTAAATCCTCTTGTCTTCGTTTGTTTTTTCTTTTTTTCGCGCTTCAAACTTTAACTCAGAAATTAACGGGGAAGTGGGAGCAACGGCATGGTAGCAAAAAGAAACCAGTAAAGAAAGTCCTAAAGTCGGGCGGGCCGATTTTATGATACCCTACACCACTTTGCTAATTTAGTTGAGCTCCACTTAATAATTAAAAGTTTTTATGGGAGAATTCAATCATACACGCTATGATTATAATTATAATTTAAAATTCAAAGGACTAAATATGCCGAAGCATTTGTATCTTTTAAATTCGGACTTGTATTGCCAATTTGGTGCGAAATTAATTTGAAATCGGATAAAAATATATATGGAAACTATATCCAAATCTGAACCGATCTTGATAAAATTTGGCAAAGATATTTCTGAGCTGTATTTGATATATTTCCCTGAATATCGTTGTTACGGAGTGCGTATTACGGCTGTGGGTAACAAATACAACAAATCGGATGAACAATATATATGGGAGCTATAACTATATCTGAACCGATCTTCACCAAATTTGGCACACTACCTTCTAGACTAAATTCGGTCGTATGTGCCAAATTCCATCCCATTTGGACAAATATTAGACGTTTGGTGCACAATAAATGGTAAATCGGACGAAGTAATATATGGGAGCTATATCCAAATCTGAACCGATCTCGATAAAATTTAGCAAAGGTATTTCTGAGCTGCATTTGATATATTTCCCCAAATATTGTTGTTACAGAGTGCATATTACGGCTGCGGAGGACAAAAATAACAAATCGGATGAACAATATATATGGGAGCTATAGCTATATCTGAACCGATTTCGATAAAATTTGGCATACTTATTTTCAGGCCTAATTTGGTTGTATGTGCAAAATTCCATACTATTCGGGCTGATATTACACGTTTGGTGCACAATAAAAGGCAAATCGGACGAAGATATATATGGGAGCTATATCTAAATTTTTACCGATTATCTCCAATTTCAATAGGGTTCGTCCTTGGGCCAAACAAATGATTTGTGCAAAATTTCATCTGGATAGGGCAATAAATGCGAACTGTACTTTGTTTACAAAAATACATGGACAGACGGACAGACGGACAGACGGACGGACGGACGGACGGACGGACGGACAGACGGACGGACGGACGGACATGCATAAATCGACTCAGAATGTGATTCTATCAAAAGGAACTATGGGTCTATCTCGTTTCCTTTTGCCTGTTACAAACAAATGCACAAAGACATAATACCCTGACCACCTAGTGGTGTAGGGTATAAAAAATAGAGGAAGTTGTAAGCTGAGGCAAACAAAAGAAGCTGGTACGAAACACCCAAAGTTTTATTTCACATGCCGCCAACAACACACTTGCACACTTTCCGACAATTCCAAAAATAACACACACACACACCCACACAACTTTGCAAGGAAATGAAAAACAACTTTTGGCATAAATACTCCCATGGAGGGAATTTCCCTGGAGTTTGTTGGCGGTAGGGGAGGGGGTAATGCTATATGACTGAGTGTCCCTCTTAAAGTACTTTTTGTGTCTCACAAGTATACTGGGTATATTGGTGTGTATGGGTATTTGGTGACAGCTTATCGATGTGTGTGTGTGTACTCTCATACCGGAATGCTTGTGACAGCAGTACAAGCGGCATTTACTTAAACACACACCGATTCAGCTCGCATGCTTCTCAAAAAAGTAGAAGCAATGAGGAACGCATCGTTGTATTTTGCTTTTACTCCCTGAAATCGCAAAACAACTTTTCTACTTAAAAATGTTGTGAAGTGTGAATATGAGTGCTGCTACATTCTGCTGTCGCTGTTCTTTGTTTTTGTTTTTCTTGTTGCATGAACAACATTTTGTTTTGTTCAATTGGACAGAAATGAAGAAGCAGCAGCAGCAGCAGCTGAAAAAAGCGTAAAAAGCTTTGCTCGAGGGCCATTGCAGTTAGCATTTGTACACTAAATATGGCAAACAACAAAATCACCAGCTTGTCGAGC